TTAAGCCTTAAAAGGTTTGGTTATTAGCTTTGTTAGTTATAAATTGAAAATTTGATGGATTGGATTGGTTCATAAATCTCCATAGCTTGTGTTAGAGTAATTGAACCATCCCCAACTTAATGTTAATTTTGATGTTTGTAAATCTACCATAATCTAGATAAATATTACAAAAGTAGCCCATTGTAAAATCTAAGTATGTTTTCAAAATTTAACATAATTTTAAAAATTATTTATAAAAAATGAGAAATGAGAAATGAAAATTGTTATTAATTTTTTTAAAAAGATAACAGAGTGAGTGTCTAGGTTAGCTTGCACACACTTGATTAATTTCACGGACAACCGTGTGACTCTACTACATTGAAAACGAAGGGGGAGTAAGAGTATTTGAAGAATCGATCCGACTGATCAAAATTGACCGAACCGACTGAACATACTTTCTTCGGTCGGTAAATCGACTCCTCATCAGTCGATTTGGTCGTAAGTATTATTTTGGACTGAAATGTACCTACTCCACTAAATTTAAAAAATATATAAATAAATTATTTATATATTAAATGTGCTGTACAAGACCAACGCCAGCTAGTATGCCTCATTTCCCTTTTTTTCCCCTTATCTTCTTCCCCTTTTATCTTCCCGTCTCTTTTCTTCATTCTCACATTTCTCCAAACCGACCGATCATCGATGTAGTTGGTGAATTGGAATTTCGAGTCTTCTACCGACTGATGATCCCCTTATTTGAAACTCGTATGATGTTAAATCATAAGTAGGTCGTCACCATGATTCGAACACATTTCCTCTAAATTGTTTAGAATTTACCATGGTTCCTTTAGACTAATAGGTCAATCCATTAGGATGATTAAGAAAAGAAACGTTTATACTGAAGATTGAAAATAAGAAAGGACAAAGAATATGACCGTTACCCAACAAGCTTTTTCTTTTCTTTTTTTAAGTTACTCGTTAAACATTATTCGTTTAAGAAAAATGTTTTGAACCCAATCCGACTCGAACAAGGAAGGTCTATTATATTCACATAGGTGAGATGGATGGAAAGGAAATCACAGCACGTTTTTATACGTGAATTTAGCAAATTAATTGAAGCAAGGCTGGAATTAGATCAAAATTAAAATGTGGGATTAATTAATTATTGGAATATTTGGGTCAAACCTTGAAGATCTTATTAGCTTAATTTTGTCGAACAAATAGAGATTCTTTTTGTGTTTTATTCCCAACATAGGAAGCCCCAAATGTTGAAATTTCACCTTAATGTCTCCAACCAAATTATATCCAATCTTTTCTTTGTCTCTTTCCATTATTCAATTCTTTTATTTTTAATTGGTTTCATCTTGTCAATGTCTCCCAACCAAATTTTATCCCATTTTATTGTCATTTTCTGAGATCTTTTTAAATATTAAAATTTAAACAAACATTCAAACTTATAAAATCTATAAATATAAGAGTTATAATTTTTTATGAATAAAAATATATATAATAATAGCCAACCTGAGAGTATAGGTATTGGTCAAAATATCTTGCTTATTTTTCTTATACGGTTGAGGTTCAATCTCCTATCTCAACTATTCAAATAAAATAATAATTAATAATAATAATTTGACCCAATAATTATAAATGTTTTTGCAAGAACAATGATAGACTCAATTTTTTTTAGAACAACATTATAGAAGATACTTATAACTAAATATAAAATCTTGTAAATTTCTTCCTTGGTTTTTTTTAAGGAAGTTCTTAATGTCACAGAACTGATAAAATCATTAATAAAATGATTGTTGTGATGCGATCAAAATATGTTTGTTTAATTTAGTTGCAAAATACTCTAAGTTTAAATTGAATGAAAAAAAATATAAATATATATACACACAATAAAAAACATATTCGCTTTATAACTTAATTGCAAAGCTAATTTTTTTTACAAAAATAGAAAATCAATTAAAATGTTATTATACTTCATTGACAATTTCATAAAAGTATATACTTTTAAGATTTAAAATCGTACTTATTTTTAGAACGCTGGATTGAAAACAAAGCATAAAAGTTAATTACATAAAAAAAAAAAAAGTTGAAAACCGTTACTAGGACTAACATTTCCTATAAAATAAAAGTGAATTTTAGGATGATTTGAAAACTGAAAATAGCTTTAAAATGTGGAAATAATTCTTTCATTTTTTAAACCTTTTTCATTGATAAATATTTGTGTTTCAAAAAAAAAAAAAAATCTTTGCATTTCTAGAGTATTTATAAAATTGTCAAGCATATGCTTGGTTGTCTTCTATTATTAAGTTATGGGTAAATGAGAAATTAAATATACTCGTGGTTTTTTTAATGAAAAGTATACTCATGGTGTCAAATTTCAATCAATGGGAATGGAATTAGAATATGTAATATGAAAAGAACTATTCTTTAACTTAATTATGCAATCAATTATTTTTTTTTAGTACAATCAATTAATATTATAAAAGAAATATTGTGGAATTTCTCAAAAGTCAACAAAGTCTAAAGGTTTTGCACACCAAATTTACTTTGTAATCCATTTTTCTTTATTCCTTACTTCTATGTAAAGGGATCTCTTTATCCCCTTTTTACATGGAAAACTAACAACATTTATATTTCTTTCTTTTAATGTTTCTCCATTTCTTTAGAATTCGTTGATTAAAAAAAAAAAACAAAAACTAAATATGGGTTTTAGTTTCTAATATTTGAGTTTTTTTTTTAACTCGATCCGTAATTTTCTAAAAGTATTAATTTTTATTTTTGCTTTCAATAATTAATTCTTTGTTATCCTTAAAAATTAAATCAAATTGACAAAAATGATGATGTAATATCAAAATAACACTTTATACTCTGTTTTAATTTGATGAAATAGACGTATTACTCACCTAGTTAACAATTTATGCATTTCACATGAATTAGAATGTAGCTAGTTACTTGACGTAACATTATTTATTATTGTTGAATGATACATTTTGTCAAATTATCAAGTGTAACTCGTTATTTTAAATAAATGGTATTATTTGTGTGACCAATCACAAATTATTTACACATGTCCTCAAATTAATTTTAAAATCGGCAAAAATCAAATTATGTCACATGTCTTTTTGACCACTGATCAATAACAATGGCTAATTAGATTAGCCCATACTGATATTGGGCTCAATGCTCAGGAGAAGGATGTGCATATAAGGCCCACTAAGACTCTATGAGTAGAATAGGTCACCTCTTATTCGTGGTATTCAGATTCAAAACGGAGATTTAGATTTAGAGCCAAGTAAAGGATTTAGATTCACGTGCTTTTAGAATCATTCACAGCATTCAGAGGGGAGATTCGTAAGAAAAGGATTCACAATCATCCAGGAACAGAGTATCTAGAACCAACAAGAGTGGAAGCCATCGAAGACTATCAAACTTCAAGAATTGGGTGTCTCTTCAAATTGCAAGCTAAAGAACTTCATCAAGCTACAAATCGAAGAACTTCGTCAAGTTTCAAGTCGGAGACTTTAACAAGCTATAGGCCTAAGACTTCATTAAGCTGCAAGTCAGAGAACTTCGCCAAGCTACAAGTCGGAGACTTCATCAAGCTACAAGTCGGAGACCTCAAAAATCTTCAACAAAGCCAAAGACTTCAAAGATCCTTCTACAAACTAGAAGCTAAGAGTGCACTAATCTTCTTAATAAGAACCAGCTCATTAACTCTCAAATCAAGTTTACACTCGATATAAAGTATTAGAAGATTACATATTAAAGATTGTAAAACTTATAAATATATATAAACCACGTTCATTAAATTCTAGTTTCTCTTCCTATAAATTACTCGTGAGCAATTATTATAGAAATGAAGCCATTAAACTGTTGGTATCTTAATGACAGTCAAACTCATAAAAATTACTATGTTTTAAGTTACGGATTGTCATTATTTTGATTTTTAGTTGTAAGGACTTAATTAAAAAAATTCATGCATAATGGATGAAATTGGAACTTTTAAAAGATTAGGGATCAAATTAAAAAAAAAACACCCAAATTTATTCAAATTCAAAAAAGAAGAACAAAATACAAGTTCAATGTAATACTCTTCAAAGGACCAAATTGAAAAAAATTTTGCATTTACAGGTATGGTTTTAATTAATTTTATAGTTTTTTTTACGACATTTCATAATCTATCAAAATTATATTAACCAGAAAAACAATAGTTTATAGTTTAGATGTGGTTTCTGCTCCTGTCAAAAAAAAAGAAAAAAAGTTTTAAAGGTGGTTGGTTTAATTTACCCCATCTCGTTATATGACTTTTTCACAAAACTTCTAATATTTTCTTAACCTTCTACCATTTTTGTCCTTGTCAATTTTTGTTCATCTCGATTCTTATATTTTTAAAATGTTAATTTTGGTTCCGATAGTTTCAACATTGGTTCATTTTAATTACTATACTTTCAAAATGTTTATTTTAATTCCAATACTTTTAAAAAGTGATAATTTTATGTCCCTTAATTTTATTTTTAATCTCATTGTTTCTATTACAATGACATTACGCTCAATATATTTTTTGAAATATAACCCTAACTTTATATTAAAGAGTTTATGTGTGTAGAATTTGTGTTAAAGTTTTGAAACTATGAATCAAAATGATAATTTTTTACAAGTAGAAGTACGAAAACTAACCTTTCGAAAATAAAGAAACTAAAATGAATTATAGGGACCAAAATCAACATTTTGAAATAACAAACGCCAAAATAGTATTTTAACCTAAATTAACTTAAAAAAATTTTATAAAAAAGACAATTTAATTTTTTTAAACCAATAATTTATAAATTCTGGTCTAAAATGGAAAAAAAAAATATATTATATATATATATTATTAAATACAGCGATGTAAAGCAAGCTAACTTTGATCCATTGTTAGAATAAATTTTGTTGGTTTTTACACTTCAATTTTGGAAATATTTTTAATATAATTAGTATCTTATAATTTTAGATATGCCAAAGTTTTGAGGTTATAAAGAGAAACAACATCCCATCATATTAAGAGAAAATACAGCCTAAAAAATATGCAAATATAGTTTTCATAATACAAGGTTAGATTTAGATATGCCAACCTCATTTCATTTCTGTTGCTTCTTCCACAGCACCCCTATCTTTTTCAACACATTCTCATTTTTCTTTTTCAGCAAATCATCATCTATTTCTTCACAATAAGACATGTTCAACTTCCCTGCACCTGAATCATAGCTGCTGTCCAACGATCCCAATCGGTCCATGAACTTCCCGTTACTTCCCGCGGAGAGCATAGCGGCTGCTGCCTCTGCTGCCTTCCTCCATTGGTCCGACTGCACCCTCAGCCGTCTCAACTCTGTCTCTATCTCAGCATTAGCTGCCTGTGCAACCTCCAACTGTTCGCACACTCGAGCGGCCCTCTTGTTGCTTTTGTCTGCCTCCTCCATCACAATCCCAAGTCTTGTGAGAGCCTCTCGCTCAGCAGCCGTTGCATCGTCGACTTCTGTAGTCCCGTCGTTTGCTTTTGCTCGAAGCATTATCCTTTTGTTCATGTCTAGTTTTAGCGTCTCGTTCTCGTCCGAAACATTATGCAATTCTCTCTCCTTATCTGTGAGATTCAACTTCAACTCTGCAAGATGCTCCTTTAATTCCTTAATCTCCTTTTCGAGTTCGTATTCCCTCTGGCTAGATAGGTTCTTCTGAATCTTTGTGTGCAGCTGCTCGTTCTCCTCTGAGATGCCCTGCAATTCAGTCTCCTTATCCATCAAGTCAGCCTTCAGCTCCTCGATATCAGCCTTGCATTTTTTCAGTTCCTGCTCAAGAACAGCCTCCCTAGAATTCATGTTGGATTTAATCTGCTCGACCTGTTCATAAGCTGTTCTTATCTGGACTGCACTCTGAATTTGTTCTTCATGGTATTTGGTCTCAGCCATTTCCAGGGCTGATTTCAGTTGCTCAATCTGTGACTTCATACAACAAACTTCTTCAACATGATCTTCTTCCCTCATTTCCTCGTTTTTAACTGCTGGATGTTGCAAAAGGTTATTGCTAGCATTAGCGATGTCTGTTTCGAGTTTACTAACAAGTTCTTCTAATAAGTTAACACGTGCCTTCGCCTCGTCCAACTCTGAAGCAATGGAGTGGTAAGCTTTCATTGCTTCTATACCATCAGCTCTGAGCTCCTCCACCCGCTTTTTGGCATCTTCAAGTTGTGCTAGAGTTTCACTAGCAAGTAACCGAGCCTGAGCTTCGGATTCTCGGCAAGTACTCAGTTCGTCTTTCATTCTTTCGACAAGACACAGAGTTTCTGCAAGGTTTCTTCTCAAGCTATCGAGTTCATTATTAGCTGAATCTGCATGCTCAGTCTGTTTTGTTTCAGATTTAGCTACCATCTCAAGCTGGGTCTTTAGCTGCTGAATCTCATTCACAGCAGAAGCCAATGCAGCATAGTCGACTTTGTGCTGTTCTTGAATGCCCTCAAGCTCCAATTGCCAGGCTCGATCTCGCTCTTGAGAGATCTTTTGTAGTTCAATAACACGAGCTTCCTCGGAAGCGGATAGCTCAAGTACTTGCTTTTGAGACTCTCGAAGCTCTAAGGTCATGGCTACTAATTGATTCTTGGACAACTCCGCGTCTTGCTCGACTTCCTTCTTCCATGATTCTGATAAACATAACTGGTCCTTTGCTTTCGTCAGATCCTCCTGGAGCTGAGAAATCTGGGATTCCAACTCAGATATCTTGCTCGGACGCTTTTTCTGAAGCAACAAGTAAAAAAGTTTTACAAGTTTCAAAAAACAACTTCGTACTACACTTTCTGAGAAATAAATATCAGAACCAAAAACGAATTTGCATCGAAGACAAAGCACTATGTTGAGACAGATGGAGGGAAATGAGTTATGGAGAGATCGTCTTATGATTTTTTTCTTATAAGAAACCAACCTTTTCAAGACCAATGAAGTGAAGAAGACAGCCAACAAAAGAGCCTGAAGAAGCCAAGCCAACAAATAACAAAAGAAAAAATTAATCGATAAGAGTTGTGGAACGTGCATCTGGATTCCTACTTTATTTTGTAGGAATATAGGATATTTGGGTATTTCAGGATGCCCGATACTAGAGTATCTTAGGATCTCCGTACAGGAGACGTCTGCATTGTTTTGAAATAAAGGTTTTTAAGATTTTCATATCCAGGGCATCCTCTTTTTTGCCCTTAATTCTTTTTTTATATATTTTATTTCATCACTTTTCTTTATTTTTATTTTTAATTTTATTAAATTAATGCACTCATTGACTAATAAACAATTTTATGCAATTGATTATATTTCTATATTACATTTACCCATAAAATAAACTTCAATTAAATTATATAATATCTCAATTTATTTTTAATATTTGGAAGAAATTATTATCAATAATATTTATTATCTTAAATATATAATTTTAAAGCAACATTTTTTTAATGAACGACATACATTTAATTATTTTTTTTAAAAGAATATAATTAGATAATATAATAAATAAATTTCACCTTAGATAGCATTAATTATATAATTGTATTTTTTGGAAAATATTAAAGTTCGAAAATGAAATGTATATTTAATATTAATTACTTTTTTCAAAGATTTTATATTAATATGAATTCTGTAAAATAACATACAAAAATTAATATATACGAAATTAATATAAAAAAAACAACCTACAAAATTAATATAAAAAAATAAAATATTAAATTAGTAAAAACAAATCTTTTATATAAATGTAAATTATATTAAATTAGTTTATAAATTATATGAATATTCGTAACTGCATTTTTGGAACATTTCCAAGAATAAATCTTACAAAACAAACATAACTATCTAAATATTCCCGAAAATCCTTATAAATTTTCCCACGAAACAAACTAGCTATCTAAAAATGTAAGACATCTGACATTGCAGACGTTTGAAATTCTAGGCATTTCAAACGGCTCCTAAGAGGTTGGAGCTATATGCCACAAAAATAATGGATAATTATTAAAAAAAAAAAATTGTGGAGAACACCCAAAGAGAGGCATCAAGTTAGGTACCAAACTAAAGTGCTTCCACCTAATCATGTAAATTAAAGCTGATACAACCAGGAAATAATTATGGGCTTATAGAAACTTACCAACATTTTCTGAGCCTATTTAGAAGTTTGAAATAATAGAGCTTCTACAACTTTTGAGGCCATAAAGTCAAAACTCAAACTAAATTAGCCCAATGCCTCACTATAGATTCTTTGTAAACATTAGAATATATTTTTATAGGAAAAAACATTAAGATTAAACCTATTCCTGGGAGTTAAAAAATATATATATAGCTGTAAACATGCTTTTTCAACCATTCATCAAAAGGAAGCCTAGTAATACTTAAACCATAAATGCTTCACTTCAATATCAAAACTTTTAACTTTCAAAAATATGAACGCAAAACATTAAGTATATGTATATATATATTTTTAATAACTGGGAGTTGGAGCTTTGCTACCTATACCTAGGATACCCGCTCCCGCTCCAAGATCTGGACCCGGAAGACATCAATGATTTTTGGTATTAAGCTCATCAGAAGCTTCGAACTTGAGACATCTAAACCAGTATGACCAAGAGACCCAAAACCTTTGTCAACTGGACTACCTCTTTAAGGGCACAAAACATAAGTATATTGGATGTTGACTCTTAAAAAATGTGTAAAGGATTGGCTATAGAGGTTGAAACACTAATTTGAAGCTCAACTTTCAACCAAAACCAAGCGAACTATTAAGATTACCTCGCATGCAGGGCTTCTGGGTGACTTTCGATCAATAACTTTAGGGCTTCGTTCTTTAATGGTTTTATTTGCTTGGTTTGAGGAGGAAGCAGAATCACATTCCAGAGCGGTGGGCCGAAGTTTCCGAGCAACTCGTGGAGTAACCTTTTGAGGAGCTTCTGCCGAGGAATTTCTGTAGACAAAAGAAGTAATATGACAATCAAGTTTTACAGCTGACAGACTTAACATTACATGTCTACCATGGCACATTAAATTCACATCGAGCTATAAATTAACTTCTCATGAATTATAATTGATGAGTATATAGAAAATCTGGTCTATAAAGCTATGCAATAGAAACTAGAAAGTACAAGTCAGTTTTCTATTATCACCATCAACTCCCAGCGCTGCAAAAAATTAAAATTTATATTTAATCATAATTACTTGTTCTTCACAATTTTTTATATCCCAAAATCTTCTGGCCTTTCTTTGCAAAGTTTGGAACCAAATTCTATCGTTACCTATGATTTTGATGGTTCAGAAATTCATAAAAACACCATGTCTTGGATCAGTGCCAGCATGGACATACTTGTCTCTCACAAATGAATGTTTATTTAAGACAGCAACTATATGGTAATACCAAAATACTGTGTCATGTTTGTGGTAACCTACTACACAGCTTTCCACTTCATTTGCCTCCGTATGCCCAAAAAGGATAACCATTGGAGAAGGAAAGATGGCTTTTCCTCTTTCATTACATGGAACTCAAAATCCCAAAAGTGCCCCACTTATATCCAGATGACGGTATAAGATGTAAAAACAATATTAATGACAAAGAAAACACCAAGAACATAGAATAAAAGGTCTTTAATGAATGGTTTGTCAATGGAGCATGGATTGTGGTTAACGTCATATGGCCACTGCTTCACCATATAGCAAAATACAACGGCTTTGACAACCGACCGACCGAATTAAATGTTCATTTGTTAAAGCAAAACAAGTCTTATTTGTAGTCATAGTACATTCCATTCGAGAGTAAGTAAAACTGATAAAGAAAAAGAGATTTCTAAATGTAAATGGAAGAACAAGCAATGAAGCCTGCATCATATAAAACCATATAGTCCCCTTACCGGGAGGCAAGGACCAAGACATAAAATTTCTCATCACTCAGATAGAAAAACAATATCCCAAAAATCAACAGAGCATGGGCATTAACCGAACTTCAAAAGAGATATATATGTATTATATTAGAAAATGTGAACATTTAGAAAATTCAAATATAGAGGACGGACTAGACTAAAAAGTACACAAAGTATGAGTGCTCAGTTCTTTATCACTTTAACAATTAGAGTCAAGAGTGAGCAGGTGAAAACTGAAACCTAATCAACAACTACTTCTTGACATAAGTTACCAAACCAAATCAATCGGTGTTAAATAAAATAATAAAGCTCAACCCTTTACATTTTGTACAAGCTAAATAGAAATACCAAAGGGAAATGATGCTGAAGGTGAAAGCTACCTTGATTTTGGGGTCTGCATAGCTACCCTTTCGAAAAGGAAGTAAACGAAAGCTTAGTCTATGCTATCCTCCTTCAATGCTTCCTGACCCACCAAACCTGCAACTCTGCAATAAAAATAAAAATAAAAAAATCACAAGGGATGGGTAGGAATCCAATGGGAGTGTCCTCAGGGAAATAAATGTGATTCATGAACAGCATGTGGTCCTTATCATCACATTTTAAGCCACAATGAGAAAAGAAGTGATAGCATTTATTTCGTACTTTGTTTCAGAAAGAAAAATCTTACCCAGTAATGAATGCATATATTCACACGCCAAGTTAAGATTAAATGGAAGAACTGTTAAAGAAAATAGTAAATAATGAAAAACTAAAGGAGTTGTCAAAGGACAAATTTAGAAGTTGTTTGTCTTTTACAGATAGGAAACAATATTAAAAAACAAAATTTAAGAAGATAACAAGTATAAGATTTATATTTTATTGTCTTTAGGTGTTCTCATGCCCTTCTTCTTAACATGATCATTTTTTCTTTTTGGATTCGAATCTGCCGACCCATAAAGAAAGGTACTAATACCTTAATCACTTGAGCAATGAAGTCAGGAGAGAGAGAGTTTTAAGTTTACATTGTCTCTAATTTGAGGTTATATGTGAATAAGAACTTTGAGCAAAATTCAACTTTCCAACAAAACTGAAAATCATAAAGACAAACAGTTGTAGAAAATAGCTTTTAGCAGTTCCACTCAAGCATACCCAAAAAGTTCAAACCAAAACTCAGAAACACTGGAGAGAACCAGCACTTAAGATTGAGGTAAAGGACTGGAGATGGGTATATTTCATTTGCTTCAAGCAATGAAGATTATTTCCTTACAATGGGAATTCTCGCCAAGACAGGTTTAATTATAGTTGTCGAAAGTTGTTCCTCCGGTTTGGCCGTGAAATAAGGGCAGTAGGCACGCACAGTCTACTGTGTGGTTTTGACATTTAAGACAAGCAAGCCGACAAAAAACCATCAAGATTTTAATAACCATCATAAAGGCTGTTAACTTTTTAATTACACCAAATTCTAAGAAACAATCATTAAGTTCAACTCAGTGTCCCAAATAAGACTCCAAAAAACAACGATTTTCATGGTGTGGGAAAAATGGGACTTCTCCCAGCCCTTCATTCTATATGTCCTGTAATCAATTTTCCCAGGAAACAAACAGAAATAGTTGAAAAGTAAATGGTCAAAGCATAAAATCGAAAATGGGGAATGGGTAGAAATGGTCAAATCTCCAGTCAAATCGAGTTTTGAGGTAGAAAGAAAGCAGTAGGTAATTTTGTTTCACTTTTTGGACCAAAAAAAAGTAGAAGTAAAAAAGCCCTGCAGACTAGAAAATAACAAAACCCTGAGATCTCCACGTCTCGAGCTCCAAATAGGCTTATCACTTTGCAGAAGACCGCTTGTACGAACTCATACTCGTTCAAAAAGAAAAAGCAATTGAAAAGAAGCAGAAAAACCAGTAAATCACGAAAAACAGAAGTAGCCAAGAGGGGAAAAGTAGTGAAACTTGCTCTGATTTTAATCTGTTTGGCTGCCCAGAAAATTAGGGACAGAAAAAAGCAAAAACCGAACAAAAAACAAAACAAATCGTTTCTTCACCACAATGCAGTCGCGATTTCTTGTTCCAAACGAAGAATCACAAAAGCCACTGTTAACTCAAACTCTCTCTCTAAGTGGGAAGTGATAGACATTGAAATGGCTCATGAGACAGCAAAGAAATCGTGGAATAATCGGAAATGCAGTAGTTTACCTGGGAAGGGTCGTCTTGTTCGTCGTCTTCTTCCGGTTCTGGTTTCTGATGGTGAAGGAATATTCTGAGTGGCAATAAAGGGACATTAATGGATAATGGGAGCTTCGTTTTTCTTCTGGTTCGCCCGATTTCCGATGATTTTTCTATCCCTATTTATCGATTGGGAGAGACGCAATTTTCAAAGAGAGAGAAAGCAGTGGAATTAGCGGCTTGTCGTTTCCAGTTAATAAATTGTAGTCTTCAAGTACGGTGGTGAGCTATAATTATGAATTATTACTTCACTAGATTTACGCTATAGTCCCTAATCTTTAAGTTAATTGTGAATTTGCCCTTTTAATCTTTTATAATTTTCAATTTTGCTCTTTGACTCTGTTTACTTTTCGAGAATCAGAATGACGAGTGATCAGAATGAAATATATCGAACTATTGAAATGAGAATGTTATTTTTGTTTACTAGAATCAGATTTAGAATTAGAAACCTATTGATGCTACAACTGTTTGAAATCGACGTATCATAATTAATAGTGTGTCGTTTGGTAACGTTTTCGTTTATTGTTTTTGTTTCTTAAAAAATAAAATTGTATGGTCCAACACTCATGGATACAAAAATGATAAAACAATATTTTCATTTATGTATTGCAACAAATTGAAAATAGGAACAAAGAAAAAAAAACTTGGGCCTATTTGGTAATTTTTCCCTTCTTTTGTTTTTGTTTCTCTTTTTTAATAAAGAAAAGTAGAATCCCAACACCAATAAATTCAAGAATGATAAAATAATATTTATGTTTATGTTTTTGGAACAAATTAGAAATGAAAATAAGAAATGATAAACTTGTTTTTATTGTTTCTAAAATTTCTGTACAATTTTAAGAATGTTTTTAAAACGTGAGAAATAAGAAACATAAATAGTTTTTTTAAAAAAAAACCTTAAATTTCTTAATAAAATTGGAAACAATAAATAAAAATGTTACTAAACGGGTGTTGTTTCTAAAATTGCTATACAGTTATAAATGTATCTAAAAGAAGATAAGTAACAAATATAAATAGTTAACAAATGCTTAAGTTTTTTAATAAAATTTAAAATGAAAAACAAGAAACTAAACACGTTACAAAACGAATCCTAGAACACTCCTTTCTTATTTCTAACTACTTACTAATAYATTATTTAAAAATGTGTTAATATTATATTAAATTAAAATAATAATAGATTTTAATTTGTTATTATTATGTAATAAAAAGTTTTATTATAATAATTTATTTAGTATTAACAAATAATAATAAAATAAAATCACATCAATTAAAGCCAAAGAGAACATAGCTCAGCGGTAATTTGACATATATCTCCAATGAGTTCGATCCCCTACAACCACGAAGAAAGCATAGAAGAAGAAGAAGAACCCAAATTTTATATGGCAAAGCATGGATGGTGGGGAAGATTTGGGCAATAAAAAAGGTAAAGAACATGTTTATTGACACTGTTACACTATGAGCTGCTGATCGGATTTCAAGCGGAAGATTTTGCTAGGAACTAGCCATCCAAGAGGTCCCGAAGACCATGCAAACGTTTGAACATATATGCAAATCAGCAACACTACAACATTAACATACCACTTGGGTAAATAAGCTTTAACTTCACAGAGACTTCAAATTTCCATACCATGAATACAGCCACCAAAACCTACAAATGAAAATCAATCATCATTATTCGAACCATTTGTGAAAGTTGAAAGTTATTTTATGCTATCTTAACTAAAAACAAATAGCCTATGTTATCAATGGTTCAAAAGGAAACCTAACAAAATTAAAAATAATTAATCACCTGAAAAATGAACATTATGGTTCCACCAAACAAAAAAAAAAATTCTTCTTCCCGATTTATCAGTACTGTACGGAGATACAAAAGTTGTCAAAGCATCCACCCATCATGACAGATGAAAGAAGAGAAGTGTTGTCTCCAAATCCAATAGTGTTTTGAACAGCACCGGAGCATAGAACATGACCACATTGATTCCTATTAACTGTTGAAAAAATGGAATTAAAACCAACATTATCAATTGTGGTTTGTTTTGCCTCTCCCTCAAATTCCTCTATGGATGTGTCACTCTGCTTTAGCAGTGATACTTGCTACCATACTACAGATGTCTTGAAATTCTGTATCTACATCCTTCAAAGACACACCGCGGATGCTTTGGAGCATGGCTCTTGCTTTCTCGATTTCGCCTCTCTCCAACATTGATGTTGGGTATAAGGAAGAAACAAAGTTGAGATTGTGATGAATAATTCAAGGTACTACCGCACCGCCTAGACTCACACGCCACCCCCATCCGCCATGAATCTTGGCAGTACCATAGTTGATGAAATTAGCCACTAGAATACCAATAGTGATCGATAGTTGGAAAAACAACATTTAGAGAGCTTTGTATTTAGAATGGGCCATCTCCAAGACATAAAGTGGAATAAAATGAATTGAGAATCCAACACCAATGCCCAAACAAATACGACCGATAATCAACATTGTAATGTTCTGAGCAACGGCATTAACGGTAGCACCAACCAAGAACACAAAGCCACCAAGAAGCATAGACTTTTACGGGCGAAGGTTTTGGTGACCCAAGATGCTACAAAAGAAGCCAAACATGCAGCCAAATAAAGAGAAGTAAACATGGTGAGGGCAAGACTATCAAACTTATAGTATTGATTGGTAGAAGTGTTCAAAGCTTCTTTCAGATACACAGATGGGAAAAATCTCTGTAGAAACAGAGCCATGGACATGACACCACTTAATCACCAAAAACAAAATAAAATAATGAATTGCTTCTCAAGAGGGATACTAAGGACTCGTTTAATAACAAGTAACGATCTTATTTTTTGTTTTTGTTTCTTCATTTTTAATAAAGAAAAATTAGTTGTATGACCCCAACATCCATAAATCCAAGTATGATAAAATAATCTTTTTATTCCCGTTTTGAAACAAATAGGAAATGAGAACAAGAAAGAACAAATTTGTTCAAGTTGTTTCCAAATTTTTTATACAATTTTGAGAATGTTCTGAAAAAGGGAAAACAAGAAACATAGTTAATTGCAAAATGCTTAGATTTCTTAAGTAAATTGGAAACAATAAACAATAAACAATAAATGAAAGTGTTACCAAACGAGCCATAGGAGTTTACAAAAAAAAAATTAAATAATAATAATAATAATAACAAAAAATAAAAACCATAGACAGACCGACTTGTTAAACTCTTTTTATTGATTTTAGTGAACCATATTTGTTTTTCATAACAAATTTATCAAAGTAATTAAATTATCTAATATATATGGTTTAAAAAAAGTATATTTCAAATGGCACGAGCACTCTCTTTCCTATACTTTAAGTTTGCCCTATATAAACGTCACTAAACAACCTTTTAATTACTTGAGATATCGATGTCGTAACCAAAGATGAGTCCACCCGTGGCGGCAACAATGCAAGTATCAACACATAAGAAGTGAGCTCTCCAGGATAGTTCTTGATCGAACCACCTTGATTACCATTTAGCTCGAAATTACCGCCAACCATCTTAATTGGCCAGCCAAGACCCAAAAGTGGAAGAGAAGAAGAAAAGTAAGTAGCAAATATAATTGATGGAGAGAAGAAATTGAACATCGTGAAGAGAAAAGAAAAGATGAGAGAATGAAAGAAGTGATTGAGGAACATGAAGAAAGATAAGCTAAATGGGAGAATATATAGGCAAATATTTTCCCAAAGATAATTAGGAATGAGTTTCCTGCTTAATTATCAAAATCCGTGTGTAGGTAGAAGACTAGACAATCAAGGGCGGATTCACGAAGGGGCCGGGGGGCACGTGCCCCCCTGTATTTAAAATAAATATTATTTAGTAAGTCATTCTAGTTAGAAAGTGTTGGGTTTTTCGTGGGATAGGATACTAGCCTCTTGTACCATCACAGCGGAATCCACGAGAACCAAGTCACGATTGGAGATTGATCACGAATGGAAAAATCTCACGATTCACCGTCTGAATTCTTCAAGTGGTGAAGAATTTTGAGACCAAGAACTCTAAGTTATTTTTCTGTATTTTTTTAGGAATCTCTCTCTCTGTTAACAGGAGTAACTCACACACCCGTATAACATCCACACACAGTGAGAGAGAGTGGAGAACTTTAGGGGGAGAAGCAGTTACATAGCTGCTTCTTCATTTTCAAATTCAAATTGATTTGAATTTTGTGGATTTTATTAAATCATACATCTCCCATTTGCACATAATGTACTTTCATTATGGGCGGACCACAAAAAAAAAGTCTCATCTTCTTATGAGGCTCTTTTAATATCTCAAAAACAGGAAACACATTCCAGTGCACCAACATAAAAAATCATACAAGAAAAACAACTTTAATTTCAAGATCGAGTCACTTTACAACTGTTAAGTATGTAAGTTAACTTGAATGAGTGAGTAGAGTCAGTATGAAGTATCGTAGAGTCATTTAGTCACACTTGTCACAACTCATGATCTATATCGAAATATTAATTTCATATATGTGTGTATTCACAATTATATTACAAAAATATAATTGGTTGACCTGTGAATACCTATAATGTGACATTCGAAATGATCTTCCATTTCTTAAAAGATTTCCATTCCCAAACAATTGCTTTCTAGGTAAGTTCCATTAGATCGAATCATTCATGACCATTGGCAACCTCCCTAAGAAAGCTAACATTGCAATAGAACTTCCAAATTTTAGTCAAAAAGGTCAAAAGGGTGCTTGTCGAGATTTCTTAATCTCACGGGTCTCACACAACAATGAAGTAGAGATCAATTAACTTCTACTACCCTTGGTGGTCAAATTGTGCACACGTGGTATGAAACACATGTTACAGTATTTTACTCCATCTCGTTAGAGTGTATGTCTCAACTAAATACTATACAGATGATAGTTCAGATATACTCAATATCTAACTTGAGTCCACAACTCTACCTTAATAATTTATCAACTAATGATAACAGGACTTCCGTCTAGCATTCAAAGATAATTTAAAGTAAATAATGGGATTTGTCACCTTCGACATAATATGATCTCATCTTGATCACATATCAAGGCGATATCTCATTTTAAGCTACCACTAGCTCTCATATTTTATTGTACCACTACAACAATAAGATTGCTTAAAATTATCTCATTTCTAACAGACACGCAAGTCATAGAAGCGA